CTACTCGGACCCCATCTAGGAGGCCTCTAAAGACGCAGCCGGAGGAGTGCCCACAGAGGATCTCCAAAAGGCCAAATCAGTCAAAGCCTAAAAGGTGTCCTAAGATTCTTCAGGCTTGCGCCACATCCGCCGACCTATTGAACTTTTAGGGGACGAGGATTTGGGAATGCAGGGGGGAGGGGGATTCTGGAGGGGCAGGGCCGGCAGGCGTGAGCCACACTCTTGGAATCAAAGGCGTTTGATTTCATGTTTGCAGCCGCTTGGGCATTTGGACACTACGCGGGGGTGTTTTCAGAGGAGACGATGAGGCCCTTAGCTCTAAAGTGCAAGGGTTGCGGGGCAGAGGCCACGTGGAAGTTCCTTGGGTTCGTGGGAGGACTCATGGGGAGTTCTGTGAGGCGTTGTGGGGACTGCTTCTGAGGACCTTGGAGAGTTCTCGGGGCTCCCTGGGAGCCTCGAGGGGATTTCTTGGGCGTTCTTCGGGCCGCTGGGGAGGCTCCTGGCGTTTCCGAGCGGTGTCCGTTGAGCGTCTTCGAGCGTCCGTGGACGACTCGTGCGGTGTGCTCTCGTGGGCCTCTCTGAATTACTGCCGTCGGCCAGCCACTCCTGAACCACATGACTTCCCCCTGCTTGCATGAAGTCGGGCCTGTCACTCTACAGGAGGAATATTTGAGAATAGTCCCAAAAAATAGTCTGGGGGTGAGTTTTCTATGATTGTTGGACCATGTTTGACAATTGTTTAACTATTTTTGATTTTTCTCCCAACATCCGCCTGTGGGGGGACATGCCCGACCTAATGCTTGCACCGGCCAGTTCGGCTGAATCGGCTGGATTGGGCTTCTGGGGAAGACGTCGGGAGAGGCGCCATGACTTCGCACGCCGAGGGAACTCCAAGGGGTCGGCTGATTTGTCTGCAGACAGCGGCCTAGTTGTCCATCTAGCATGGCGCGCGTCCAGGTGTGAAGAGGGATGTTGGTACAGTGCCGTGTTTAATACATGCTCCGCGTGCGGATCATGCATTTAACATGCAGGGGCTTAGTACTAAAAACAACGACGCGTTCATGCATACATTCAAAAAATCAAATGTTTTACAATCCCATGTATTAAAAACTGCCCTGTATGGATTCTTGACTGGGGGCACGAGGCGGGAGCGCACTCCTCTCCCTCCGGCCGGCGGCCAGCGCCGGATTTGTGAGGACATTGCCGAGGCGTCATCGATGGGGAGTTGTGCGGGACCCTGGGGGGGTCTTGGGTCTTGGGGGCCTCTTGGTTTGGCGGCGCGCACAGGGGGGTAGGGGGAGGGGAAGGCTTCTTAGAAACACCCCTGCTTCTCAGAAGGCGCGGGCGTTGTCTACAAATGTAAGACCGGCGCCTTCTAAGAAGCACCTCCTAAGAAGCCTTCCCCCCTCGCCCTACCCCCCTCTGCGCGCCGCCAATTGGTGGTTTTTGGTGCGGTGTTGCGCAGATCGTGGAAGGCTCCTAAACGATTTTGGGTGCTTCCAGGTAGTAGCAGTCGAAGTCATCAAAAATGGATGACCCCCCCATGGATCTGGCCGCTCCTGGGCTCCCAGGGGAGAGGTTCGGAGCAACACGTATCTCAAACGCTGGGGCAACCCCATTGGTTCGGCTGATTATACCATGTCCGTGACGTCACCTTTGAGGTGGAGGAGAAGGATCAGAACGAGGATGAGGAGGAGGAGGAGGAAGAGGAGCAGGAGGAGGAGGAGAGAAGGATGAGGACGAGGTTCATACGGGGCAGGTGGAGGTTCGGGACTTGCTAGCCATTCGGGTGCATGCGTCACCGCGTTACTTTGGGCGTTCAAGCCCCAGGAGGGGTTCGAGGACCCATCCCCGCTGTGGATCCACGGACTGGGGGGAGGAGGAGGAGGAGGAGGAGGAGGAGGAGGAGGAGGAGGAGGAGGACGAGGACGATTGGGAGGAGGAGAATTTGGAAGAGGATGAGGACGCACCAACATCGCCCGGTTTTGTCGTGAATATTATTGGTTTGAATGGTTCAGTCGGCCATTGTGTTTGCGTTGCACGCGGTAATGGGCGGTGCCAGGCCTATGGCAGATCCGGTGGGATGTGTTACGAATTGTGCTACAGCTGCAGTAGATGTGCAGAGTTCGCAGGGTCACTGGCGCTGCCAGATGGCATGTGACTTCGCATGTTCTGGGCCATGCTGGGCTTGGCATTCGCATCGCCCCGTGAGCGTGGACAGCGTCGGGGCGTCGTGCATCGTAATTTCCATTGGCCTTCCACGTGAACGGCTGACGCCCGCAGTCCAAAAAATTGGAAGGGTCGGACGTGGTAGCAGTTTTTTGGAGGGGTACACTGCGGGTGAAGTGGGCGGGGGCGTCGGGGAAAAATCCATCATGCGCGCGGCGGGGGGTACGTCGCGAAGAGGACGGGGTCATACGTCGAACATTTTGGTTCTCGAGAACGAGCCTCTTGCGGCGAGCGCCGCAGCGCAGGTGCCATCTGAAGAACGCAGTGTAAACTGGTTGTCGCTCGCCAAGATCACCGTCGCAACTCGGCAAACGCATGCACTGGCGCCCCTTGCACTTGCGATTTGAATCGCGCGTGCGGCATTGGGATCGTGGACGGGGCGGCGTGCTTTGAGCCTGTGGAAACGCGGCGCCCACTGTCGGACAATGGGCCGATGCTTTGCGATCGCTGATTGCGACGGCGCTACAGAGGGCGGTGGTCGATTCCGGGGCGCGCGGCTTAAGGCCGCAGACGGTTGCAGCGCAGTCGTGGCCGCTTCCTTCCACCGAGAACCGCGGCAGCGAAGCGCGCGGAGCAAGCTTGCCGCCAGCCGTGCGGGACGGGCGCGATTGCCGCGCTGAGACACGGCAGTGCCCTGGGCGGCGGAGTTCGGGGCCCAGGGAGCGGGGGTGAATGCGAACGGGTGTCAGCCAGAGCGCCGGACCTTGCACGCTCCTGCAGGGCCAGGGGCGCATTGACTCGGGCTTGGGCGCAGGATCCTGCAGGCTCTGATAGGATCCTCAAGGTCTGAATGGCCCGGGTTCGGATTGACCCGGGGCCATAGATCCCGGGCAGTTGGGAAGGGTGGCCCGCTGTCCGCGGGCGCGGTCGCCGCGCGGAGTCCGAATGAGGTCGCCATGGCAGAACTCTCGCGGCCGTTGCCGCCAGGAGCGGGCACCCTCGGAGAGCTGCCGCACGGCGCTCCCGCGAGAGAAACGCGCTCGGCAGCGACGCGGCGCTGCGATCGTCTGCGCGTCAACGGGGCGCCGAGTGTTGGCGACGCGCGCTCTGCGAATGCCGTTGTCCGGGTCCCTTTGGCCCGGTGCAGCAGGCGGCGCAGCGCCGCAGAGATACGCGCGGCGCGCGGTCAGGCACGCAGCGCGCCCCGGTTCGGTTTAGCAGGCGGCTCTGATGGGCGCCACTTTCAGCGAAATCCCAGCGATCGACCGAGAGAAAGTGCCAGCGGAGACAGCCACCCGGCGATTCCTATTTCAGCACGGACGCGCGGACAATTTCCGAGGGAGCTGCCAGCGCGACGCGAGCGAGTTGTGTTGCGAGGTCGCGGAAGCAGCATGCAGCGGAGGGAGGAAGCGCCGCCGCTGCGCGCGTCGCTCGTGGATGACAACGCGCTTGGACGCGCAGTGCGGCAGAGGCGATATTGCGCGGGTTGCGGGCGGGTCTCGGAGTTGCATTGGTGGAGACGCGCGATGGCTATACACATGCCGGGTCACGCCTGGAGCGTGGAGCCCGTCTGATCCGGCGCCTTGGCGGGATTGCACGCGGGCGCGGCGCAGTATGATTTGCCGCGGCCACGCCGACCGAGTACACGGGAGGGCGAAGAGTAGCGCGGTTGTCAGGTGCCGCTGCAAGTTCACCACATTCCCGCAGTGTCACCGCCGAGATTTGTGGTGGCAGTGCTCAGCAGGAGGACGGCCGCCGGGGCGGACAGGGCGAGCGCGCGCGCCGGGGATCCGCGCGGGTTCGGGCGGCACCAACCGTCGCCGCACCGTGCATTTTCAAAACGCGTAGCTACTTCGTGGCCGCACAGTGGACCAAAGTCTGACCTCGCTAGTGGACTATGTACTCCCCTAGCCGTTGTGCAAGCCTGTGGGGGAACACACGGGGGATGAAGAGGTGGAGAGGGAGGATAATGAGGAAGCGAAGGAGGACCTCTTGGAACCTCCTTGAGGCCTCATGGGGGTCTTTGAGGAGCCGCTTAGAGGCCTGGGGCCTTTCGAAAGCCTCTGAGGGCCTCTTGGGCCGTCTTAGGGCTCCCTTGACCTTCTGACGCTTCCAGACGCCGTCTTGGGGGTCTCTTGGGCCGTCTTGGGGCTATGTTGGTTCTTTTCTTGGGCTTTTCCGACCGTTAGAAGCCCAAAACGTCGAGAACGCGAAAAGCATTCAAAACACACACAAACAAACACGGCGAATTAATGCTTTTGGACTCGTCGGACCTCCTGCAGGGCCTCTTGGAGCTCCCTTTGGCCGTTATAGAAGCTTTGGGGCCGCCTTGAGGCCGCCTTGGAGCCCCCTTGACCCGTAACGGGACATCTTGGCCCGTCCTGGTGGAGCTCCCTTTGGCCGTCATGGAAGCTTTGGGGCCGCCTTGAGGCCGCCTTGGAGCCCCCTTGGCCCGTAACGGGCCATCTTGGCCCCTCCTGGAGGCGTCTGGGGTCGGCCATCAGGACGGCTCTCGGGCCAGCGCCCCGTCGGGGAGAGTGCTGTGCAGTCCGGCAGCGGCGAGTTTGTGCTCTCTCGGCTGCTGTTCTGCGGCGAGTCGAGGTACCCGGACAGCTTGCCCATGGGCTCGGCTCGAATCGGCTCGACATCGTGGACGCACGGCTCTTTCTCAGTCTCTCGTTTCGGTTCTTCGCGACGCTTTTCTCACCATCTCCCATTGGAAAAGGAGCAGTCGTGCGGGAGCCGCAGATTTTCAGCAAAGGCAGCATCGGAATGAACAGGGATTTGTATGTGTGTGTGAGTCCCTCGACTATCGACTCTCGGCTGCCTAGGCGTGCTCGTCCCGCCGAGCTCCCTCCACTGACAGAACACGTGCAGTGCGCAGGGAGACCCCGCAGGCGCCGGCAGCTAATTGCTCCCTCCCGGCGGGAACAGGAAAAACAGGGATGATAATGAGGGAAAGAGGAGGAGGAGGAGGAGGAGGAGGAGGAGGAGGAGGAGGAGGAGGGTTGAGGAGGAGGAGGAGGAAGACGAGGAGGAGGAGGAGGAGGATCAACTCGGACTCCTGCGGGGGCAGAACTCCGAAAGAAATCTCGCGATCCGGACAGGCCAGGCTCCAGCACTGGACACAGCGGGAATTGTAGTTTTGTCGGGATGAGGGAATGGGAGGCAGACATTCTAATTTCGCGTCTGAGAGCCAGGAAGAGTTGCGGCATGCAAGTCTGTCAGTATCCGCTTTGCTTCCGACATGTCTCGCGGTTTCTCTTGCCGCGGACGGCACATCCACCATGTCTATTCAGAGATCGCGTTGGCTGTATGTCTCGTGCCATACCTTTGTCCAGATCATGAGTCACCTCATTCAGCTGGTGCAGTTTAGGAGAGCGAAGGACAGGTCAATGATATTGCGAGATCAATGTTGACGCGTCATGGGGAAATATGGTGGGTGCGCAATCTCGCACGGTATCACCACAGTTCCCAGCACGGCACCCAGTGCCATTGTTTGCGAGTGCGATCTGCGAGAGGCGTGTTGGGCAGTTCGCATCAGAGGGGCAGGGAAGCATCAGTTTGAGCAGGAAGGGAGGATGGCATAGGTTGGCGAAGGTTTAGCACGTTGATATTGACATGACACGGGGTGGGATCGACGAGGTCAACGTGGGGCGAACCTAGGGGCTAAAGCCGCAAGCGCGGGCAAGATTGACAACATGCCCGCAGCAGACAACTTGTAGATTGATATGAGCCCCAACGAGAGAAGGGATGTAGCCCCGTCGCTTATTTTCCATCACGCCCTGCACCACTCAGCCATTGCAGCGCCTTGTTTGGGAACGAAGAGCTTGCAAGGGAAGACGCGCTCCCTGGGCCGCGCTTGCGATATCCCGATTACCGAAAGAGCGCGTTCTGTGGACGCTTGGAGGGGGGTGGGGGTTTGGAACCCGACCCCCCCTCTCTCCCCTCGATGGAGGGGGGGAGGGGGGTTCGAACCCCCCCTTCCCCCCCCCTCCCTCCCTTTCCTCTCTCCTCGGACCAGCGGCTGGCGGCGGCGGCGGCGGGGACGACGATTTCCTTTCCTGTGCCGGCGCCGGCGCCTGTGGCGGCGGGCGGCGGCGGCGGGGAGCGTCGACGAGGACGACGGTGGTGGTGGTGGTGGTGGTGGTGGTGGTGGTGGTGGTGGGTGGGTGTGTGGTGGGTGGTGTGGTGGTGTGGTGTGGTGGTTGTGTTGTGGTGTTGGTGGTTGTGGTGGTGGGTGGTGGTGCTGGTGCTGGTGGTGGTGGTTGGTGGTTGGTGGTGTTGGTTGTGGTTTGGTGGTGGTGGTGGTGGTGGTGGTGGTGGTGGTGGTGTGGTGGTTGTGTGGTGGTGGTGGGTTTTGTGGTGGTGTGGTGGTGGGTGGTGGTGGTGGTGGGTGTGGTGGGCGGTGGTTTGTGGAGGTGGTGCTGGTGGTGGTGGTGGTGGTGGTGGTGGTGTGGTGGTTTGTGGTGGTGGTGGGTTGTGCTGCTGGTAGTGATGGTGGTTGTGGCGGTGGTGGTGGTGTGGTAGATTGTGGTGAGGGTGGTAGTGGTCGTGGGTTTTTGTGGTGGTGGTGGTGGTGATTTGTGATGGGGGTGGTGGTGGTAGTGGCTGTGGTCGTGGTGGTGGTGGTGGCAGTGGTTGTGTGGTTGGTTGCTGGTGGTGGTGGTGGGTTGACGCGGTGGTGGTGGTAGTGGTGGTGGTGGTAGTGGTGGTAATCGTAGCTGCGCCCCCGCCGTCGCCAGCGCTGGCGTTGCTGGCCGGCGCCAGGGGGTTGGGGGATTTGGAACCTCCCCCCCGTGGGCTGCCTCTGGTCATCGTCGCTGCGACCTCGCCGTCGGCGCTGCTTGCGGCCGCCGGCGCCAGCGCCAGCGCCAGCGCCGAGCGGGGGGGGGGTAACGACCCCCCCCCTTTCGGAGAGGGGGGGGAGTCGGGAGCGGGGAGGGTCTGGGGGGGAGGGGAGTCGCCCTGGTTTTGGTCGACGGCGCCGAGTGTTGGGGGAGGTCCCACCCCCCGGTTCGAAACGCGCCGCCGAATGTTGCCAAGGCGAGCGCCCGTGAAGCGCGTTTTCTCCTCTTACCTTTCTGTTGGAACTATTGGCACTACACGTACCATACGTCTGCATACGAAGGAAGAGTCTGTGCTCCAGCACAGAAGTGAAGGCCCTTGCACCCCCCCTCCCCCCCCCGTGGAGTAGGTCTTGGATGTCTTTGGAGCTTTTTTTCAGGCAGGCGGAGGCTTCCCCATGGGACGCACTGCTTCAAACTCTCGCGCTAAACAGAGGTCCGGAGCCAGACCCTCCCTGTTGCTCCCCCTGTTCCCTCGCCGTCGTTCGCATTTGATCTCGGCGAGGACCATCGAGGAGCATCCTGGATCACCGAGCGGAAGGAACACGCACGAAACCGACAAATGCATGGTGAATGGCGAGCGTGCCGGCTCCCTGCCCCCCCCCACAGTTTCTTAAGAGGCACCCGATGGATTGCTCCTCCCCGTCAGCTGCAGCACGTGCCCAGTTCATCGCCAGCTCGTTGCATTCGACGACGCTCGTGTGAGGATTCGTCTCGTCCCCTCAGCTTTCCTTTCTCTTCTTGGTATCGCTCGGATGTGTGTATGTTCTCTTGGGGAGGACAATCGATGAGCATCCTGGATCATCTTTCGACGATAAGCGCTTGAAGCCGAAAAATAAACGGGGAATGGGCTGTCCGAGCGACAGCAATTCCTTCTTTCCCCCAAAACAAGCGAGCTAACAGAAACGGGCCCGCCAGCCACGTGCCATATTTCTATCTCCGTACATATATAGAGAGAGAGAAGGGGGGGAAACATGTGTATATACATGTATGTATTTATATATGAATATATATATATATATAATATTAATATAATATATATATATATATATATCGAGAGAGAGAGAGAGAAATACATAAATAAAGAAATAAAGAAAGAAACAGAGAGAGAGAAAGAGACAAACAAATAAAGAGAGAAAGAGAGAAAGAGAGAGAGAGAGAGAAAGCCTGAAAGAGAGAGAGAGAGAGAGACAGCCTGAATCCCAGGCTGTCCACGCAGCGAGCGCAGCGAAGCAGGGGCGCCTCTGCCCCGCCCACTACGGCGGAAGGCGCACCCGCGCCCCAAGGACAGCGCGGGAGCCTTAGTGGAGCAAGAGGGACATCAGAATGAGCTACATTCATCGCGCCCAGGTAAGGACGCGCGTCTTCATCTATGGTACCCTTTGTGTCCTCGTCTCTGCGGCCCGGCCTGTCCTTCGCCGTTTTCTCAGGTCGCCCGCCGCCCGACGAATCCCAACTTCGGCCTCCAAGGATCTTGCGTCCTTACACCCGTCCTGAATACACGCTTGGATTGTACGACAGGCTCGCGTCGTGCCGACCGGCGGAGACCCCACCGCGCGCGTATCAGGGTGAACGCCGCCCGTGGCCCAGAATCGGCCCGTCGTTGAACGATACGGCGTTCGCGCAACGGCCGATCGTTCAAGCCTGCACGATCCCCGCGGTGTCAGGGACCCACGCCGGGGTCGGCACGACGCGACCCTGCCGCGTGGCCCGAGGAGCGGCAGAGTGGGGGCGGGGGAGGCCGCGAGGGGCGCGACTCCTGGGGACCCCATTCCTGTGAAAGGGCTAGGCTTCACATGCGGTGAATGCACGACGCCGCGTGGCCCGAGGAGCGGCAGAGTTGGGGCGGGGGAGGCCGAGAGGGGGCCTCCGGCGGACAGCCTCCGGGAGGGCGGGGGCCCGCTCGGCCCGCGCGCGGCGAGGCGGGGCGCGCGGGGCGGGCCTCGCAGGCTCCGCGGCCGCGGCGGGCCGCACCGCGGGCCCCATCGCGCGCCTGCGCCTCCTCCTCCTCCTCCTGCGCCTCCTCCTCCTCCTCCTGCTGCTGCTCCTCCTCCTCCTCCTCCTCCTCCTCCTCCTCCTCCTCCTCCTCCGTCCCGCAGGCCGGGGCCGAGGTGGGCCAGGTGCGGCTCGTGTGAGTGCTGCGTGGCAAGGGCTCGGCCGCGCGAAGAAGGGGGGGGCGGGGGGAAGGGGGGGAAGGCTGCTCAGGGACGCCTCTGCTGCTGAGAGGGAGCGGGCCCTGCGGCATCTTCGGATGTCAGGCCCGCGCCCTCCGAGAAGCGGCCTCCGTCTGAGAAGCCCTCCCCCCTCCCCCTGCCCCCTTGTGCGCGCCGCCAAGGAGTGCTGCGTGGCAGATGCGGGCGAAAAGTAGCATGACGCTTCTCGACTCGCGGGGGCGGGAGGGCCGGCGGGAACATCGGGGACAGTGGGAGAGATTGTTCGGGACTCGTGTTGGGGTCCGGCACTATATCGCTTCGAGGGATGACACTTCGGCGGTGAAGCTTTTATGAAGGGCACGGGGTTCTTCGATGACTGCCCCGAAGTAAATCAGTGGCCCCTTGTCGAGGGGTCCGAGAAGCTCCATCGGTGTTTGCCGGCGAGTGGCTGTCTGCTCTTTCTCCGATGCGAGCACTTCGTGCCACAGATTGGCGAGCCGCTCGTTGCCCAGAGCCCGTGCGCGAAACATGATCGCCGACGTTGTGCAGGAAGGAAGAGACGTGAGGTGGAGAACGCGGAGGGAGGGCGAGAGGAGAGGAGAGAAGGGTCGAAAAGAGACAGGTTTGATGGACACGAGGAGGGAAGGGAGGGAGGGAGGGAGAGGGATGAAGCAGAGAGGGCGGGAGGGAGGAAGGGAGGGAGGCAAGAGCAGCAGACAGGAGGAGGGAGGGAGGGAGGGAAGGAGGGAGGGAGGAAGGGTGGGTAGAGAAGGGGGTGGAGGCAGGCAGAATATGCAGGACGAGCTCGAATTGTTTATGAGGACCTGGGTAAGCTGGCACGCTCAAATGTGAAACATATTGAG